TGGTGAGCACAAGAGACTTCTGGTAATGTATATCTTCATTGTTGATATTGGGTTTATATTGCACAGAATGGCTTCCTTTGGACTGTTTAGACTGAGAAATGGTCAGTGACGCTCAAAATCGGCCTAGCGACTAGCAGGAAAGGAGATGTGTTTTCCTGTGTTTGTTTCCATTGTTGCCTGGTTTATAGACTGAAACATGCATGCCGGAAAAGTTATTGTAAATAACACATACTTTGTGGTTGGTTCCACAAAGTATGTTTTATACAATCTACTGTATCTCCTTACCATATTATGGCATCAGACCATAATGTTAAATATAAAACATACAATACTTAAACTAATGAAATGAAGGACTGTTAACTAATACACTTACCTCTGAGAGGGTATTAGAACAAGCAATCAAGGTACCTCAAAGCCCATGTCCGCCATGTAGACAACACAGGGGTGTGGTGTTCCCACTGGGAGATGCCAAACAGCCAGTCAAACACAAGCGCACAGGTTTCTCACACTGTAACCCAGTATTCCCTTGCCTTAGAGCCAGGAAAAAGGATAATTTCCTCAACAACTGCTCCACTTTGCCTGTCCCTGGGGTTGTCCAGCTGACTAAGAACTGAATGCAAGCACCTCTCAAACACTGGAGGGCCTGGCAGCTGATATAATGCCACTGACACAGATGCCCTTCAATGGTCAAAAGACTTAAAGCATCACGTAAGAGGGTGGTTTTCATGTTGGTTTGACTGTTATGTGGAAGATCAAGTGAAGGAATAAGGAGAAGCAGATCCCTGTTTAAAGGTGGGTAGTGCAAAGTATGAGAATGGCGCATGAGAATGGTCCATACCACGTCAGAAATATGAAAAATACAAGATCTTATTACATGTATTTCTATATTTCTCACAGCACAAGTGTGTCACATTCTCAGATTGCATCAGCGTTCCTTTTTAGTGGTGCCACTCCTCATGCTTCACTCAAAAACCAAACATGCGAACTGTGTAGTCTGATTTACAAATTAATTACTTTTATAAGTCATTTTTGAATGAATCATTCAAAAAGGCGTGCGAACTTTGAGATTTCCCAGTGATCCAAATATATCACTGAATGAACTCACCGAGTGGCTACTGAATCAAAAAATGACTCACTTTCCATGTATCTGAATCATTACTTCAATATAGCCATTAGGCTGCATGGCCATCCATCCATTTATATAGCTCACCCCTATGAATAAACATGTAATAATATTCATAAGCAGGCATGCCAAATGTAATATTATGACCACAGAAAATGTTAACTAAATATACATACAGTATTTCACATCACGCTTGCATTATGAAAGCTCCCAAAGGTGTACTGTAGACAGAACAATTAGACAAGGATGGAGCTGGTAAGATTTTTTAAATGTTCTTGAAAAAAAGTCTCTTATGCTCGTTAAAGATGCATTTATTTAAAATATACAGTAAAAACAATAATATTGTGAAATATTATTACAATTCAAAATAACTGTTTTGTATTTTAATATATTTTAAAATATGTTTTATTTAATAATAATTTATCCCTGTGATGCAAAGCTGAATTTACAGCAGTCATTACTCCAGTCTTCAGTGTCACATAGTCTACCAGAAATCATTCATTTGAAATAAAAATACAGTAAAATCAATAATATTGTGAAATATTATTACAATTCAAAATAACTGTTTTGTATTTTAATATATTTTAAAATATGTTTTATTTAATAATAATTTATCCCTGTGATGCAAAGCTGAATTTACAGCAGTCATTACTCCAGTCTTCAGTGTCACATAGTCTACCAGAAATCATTCATTTGAAATAAAAAAATATTTGTCTTTAGTGTCACGTTTGATCAAGTAAATGCCTCCTTGCTGAATAAAAGTACTAATTTCTTACTGACCCCAAACTTTTGAACAGTATTGTACATGTCAGCAAACACTATTCATAGACTTCCTACTTCAGAATTTCTGAGGCCACAAAGTCAATTCTATTTCCACGAAGTCAAGCAAATAATAATGAAAACAGAGAAGCACGACATGTTATGAAAAGCTATCACAAGGTCTCCAGAGACCACATTCCATTGTCATGATAATTACACCTTAGCACAAGTGACTTGTTGAAGGCGTTGAGACTTTGAGCAGAGTGAAAATGAAAAGTGTGATAGTGTGAGGAGGAGGAGGAGGAGGAGGAGCAGAGGGGCTCGGACAAAGTGTGGGGTCTTCTGAAACAAAGCTATGTGCGAAAACGGGGAGGGGATGGTGAATGTCAGCACAGACACACACAGTTCAGACAGAGATGAGGGGATAACGGGTCTGACCCCAGATAAAGGGGAAACATTAGCCTCTATATGCCACCCAGGAATGGCAGACAACAGGAGCCTTCCAGAAACAAAAGGAGAAATGGTGAAACATCGAACGATCAACACCTCCACTGGTCGTTTTAATACACAGGTCAACATTGGCTGTAAGAAAGTCACTGTTTTGTCCTGAAATCAGGAAAATGAGAAGGCCTTGCTGTTTAGAGAGGTGATTGTTAGATGAGGGGAGAGTCGTAACATAATCTCTCCTCTAATGCTGATATAACAGATGCAACCAACTCTCCACCCAGAAAAGAAAAAGCACTGCAGCTTGAATTCAAATAAGCTGATTGTTCATGGGTCCGGTGTGAGAGTGTTGCCCAGCCCTCTGAAGGAAAGAGAAGCTGATTGTCCCGTGGCTCTTTAGTGTATGTGTTACCCAGACTGCAGGGGGAAGGTGGGGGCACAAAGGCCCTCTGTCTTAGGGAAGGAGTGGGTTTACCTGCACCGGCTCTGATTTCACTACACCGCCTGCTCCTGCTGCTGCAGCTGGCCTGCCGAGTGACACTGGGCCAGATACAGTGTCTTTTCAATGTGGAAATCATATGAGAGATAGATGCTAAACCTGTGTGTCTGGTGCTCATGTTCTAATGGTTTTTAAAATCACGTCATGCAGTGAGATTTTACTTTACTTTTTACTTTTAATCATTTAGCAGACGCTTTTATCCAAAGCGACTTACAAATAAGAAAAAGTAATTAAAACTAAAAGCTAAAACTCTATAAATACTATACATATGTATATATACACATTTAATAAAATAAAATAAATAAAATAAAAATGACAAATGCATACAACAACATTTCAAAACTAAACATTTAAATGAAAACAAAAAAAAATAAAGCTAAAAACAATTCAAAATATAACTAAAATTAAAATAAATAACAAATACAAATAATACAAATCAAACGACTTGTTCAGTAATCCTAAAAAATAACACTGTCACACTTACATGCTAAAAAACAACTTACTTACACATAGTAAGAAATGGTTATACGAACTGAAACAGAAGTGAAACAAGTAATAGGAAAGAGGAGAAATAAAATGCGATACTTATCCTTTGCCGGTGTCCCTGCCCGGTAGAGTCGATGGTCTTTACGCTCTTCGGTCTTCACATGAGGAGGCCTTCACACGACCGCAGCCGCGGTAAACTAAGCTTTTTTGTTAATTCATTTAACAAAACTCAAATTTAATTCAGCTGGACACACTTTCCTGCTTATCACAACAAATGGCCAAGCAAAGCGCACGACACTGACAAGGTACACGATACAGTACGAGACCAAGCGCGATTTCAGCACGTCTCCTAAACAAAACAAGCGTTTCCTAGCAGCGACACTGAGACACGAAAACGGTTAGATTTAAGATCTGGTTTGTTGTTAAAGTGTCTGTAGACAGGCCCTCTGCTGAGTAATTCACTAAAATATTGTTTGTAATTATTGTAATCTGCTTAAAGGAACACTCCACTATTTTTGAAAATAGGCTCATTTTCCAACTCCCCTAGAGTTAAACAATTGAGTTTTACCGTTTTCGAATCCATTCAGCTGATCTCTGGGTCTGGCGGTAGCACTTTTAGCTGTAGCTTAGCATAGATCATTGAATCTGATTAGACCGTTAGCATCTCGCTCAAAAATGACCATTCCGGCTAATAATCAAAGAACTTTTGATTATTAAAAGTTCCCCCCCCCTTCCCCACCCCCAGATTTTGCAAAAGGATCAAGTTGGTCACACAAATTTGCAGTGTTGACCAACAGAAAGGTACTTGGTTTGAAATTCACTTCTGTGTAAGCAGTGTTTCAAATATTGCTACATGATTGACAATAGACAATGGACCTTTTTCGCCCGCAAAAATTTCACCAAAATGTCGCTAATGTGACCACACCTTTAGACTAGACTTAAATTGACATGTTATGATGTGCTGGATCTTATCATTCCCATTCAGTAGATATTTGTGGGCATTAAGTTCTGCATACAGAGGTTTTTAACCAAACACGAAAGCAGTAAATGCCATGTGATGAATCACTCTGGAGCTGCAGGAAAATGATATTCCTGGCCATTGTGGCCCACATTTTGGTGATGTAATGCCGCATAGACTCTTGTAGTTGAAGTCCACTGAGGTTGTTTGACCGTTGCGCTTAGGTCTTTTGAACTTTAAAAAAAATATGCCTGCATTTTCTTCCATTACACTGCATCTTGTGTAAGTGCAAAACCGCTTTCTATCCTAATGGCCCCCAATAGTGCTTTAGGTCCATATAATAATAATAATAAGAAGAATAAACTAAGACTGCACCCAAAATCACATACTATCTGAGTATGTACATCTTTTGAATACACCTTTTTCTTTTTTTATTATATTTCACCTACTATATATCAGCAAAACCTCAACACCTTTTCAGTTCACTTTTTTTGGCATGGGCAATGCAGCGACAAAAGAATCTTTCACATCCGTCCTATAAGATAAGCAGATTGTCACTGTCTTTTAAGGTAAAAGACAGTGTTGTCCACTAGAAAACCACTGCTACTACAGTGCTGGTAGAAATACACCAAATGCAATGCATTTCACTCTATTCAGGTAAATTTATCCTGCAAACTAAAATCATGGAAACACTTTGCACACGGTTACAATAAATTCAACAAAGTCTGTGAGAAGAATATTTGTTTATTAAACCCATTGCTTGTTTTTCCTCTTAAAAAGTGCATGCATAATCCCTCTAGATCAAACAAATGTTGCCATCTACTGGGAAAAAATGTCATTGCAAAGTTCCCAAAACCCCTGTAAATTCCTAACAAATGGGGGAAATTAAAAATTCAACTGAATGAAATTTTAAAACGAAGCACTTTTATTTCTTCTCTTTTACCAGGAAAAACATACAGTACATCCAGAATAGAAAAATAATATGCACTTTACCAGGTTTGGCTCTTTTCCACTCAGCAGAAACCACCCACTGTAATCATTCTTATCTTTAGTGGGCCAACAACAGGAAAAACATAAAAAAGAAAAGAATTCACTGCCTGCCAACAATTCCAGCGTAACAAACTACTGGAAAACACACAGTATCCGACTCACACTATTCTGACACATTACAATCACTCTGATATGAAGTACCCAGGACTCAGAATGGACATGAGCAGCTCAGTCCGATCAAGCCTGTGCATCTTTAACAGGGTAACTGCCTTGGTTTTATTTGAAATGACGAAGAACATGGCCCCATTCACACAAAGCTACCCTGGTAGGATTACACGGAGATCACAGAACAAAGCATCAAGATCAAAAAAAAAAAAAGTCCGCAAGAATATTATTCGGGAATCAAGCTAATATGCATGCGCTAATTAAGATGCATGCACAGATGTGACCAAAACAAACAAAAGACTTTGAACAAAATGTGTTTTTCGATCACTGTTTGTCATGGAACAATGAAAGAGATCAGAAAGCAGCTTCACATAGGTCCTAATAAAATCCTAATGGCTGTTTCTAACATTTGATTTAAACATAAATAACTCTTATTGCTAAATAAACTTTGCTAATAACTCACGTACTGGCACAAGTCATTATTTCAACAATGAAATATGCTGATATAGCAACACATGTTAAAATGACTAGCAACTTTTGAAAATGAAAAAAGGCCAAAAACAAGCTTAAATGGATTAACCAAAAGCGTGTACATAATTCAAACAAATTATTTAAACTTCAACTTAAGCGTAATAATTTGATTCTGAAGAATTCAGAGAATTATTTTTCAAAACCAAAGAATTATTTTTAAACATGGAATTATGAGGAAAATTAGAGTTTACCTCCAGTCATTAAAACTTTGTACACAGAATGCAAAAAAGATCAAATAAAATTAGCTTCAGAATTGTGTGAGTTTTAAGCTTATTAACACATTTGAAGAGAGATTAGATGTGGATGAGCTGGAGAGGGACGTTCACTCATCTGAGCCATTAGCTTGAGTTTTTTGGTCACTGTCATCTGAAGGGTCACCCTGCATCAAAAACAAACCACTTACTACACATGATTTATTTTACTACATTTCACACAGTGATGAAACAAATAAAGGTTCATACTTGTGAAAAAACGCCCTGTATCTCCTTCATGATGGTGTCGAGGCTGGACACTGTGCTGTGGAGCTGTTGTTCATAGCTGCCCTTCTGCTGGTCTGAGGCTCTCAGGTTGTTCTCTGTCTCTCTGAGATTGTTCTTCACCTCCTCCATCTCCCTCTGAAGGCTGCGGGTTGCTGCTTCTAGCTCTGCTATATGCTTTGAGTCCTCCTCTACAAAACAAAAAGATTTGATTAGCAAATGTAATTGTATTGAGAGTAGAAAAATGTATTGTTTATCAGTTAATGGTAACCATTACAACTGGACAAGGGAAATGTAAATGGCTCCGATGACACTGACTTTACCATATCACTGACATCCTTGTTCAAATACACAATGAAAATAAGACACAGGGTTCCCACTCTTTCATGAACACCAGATTCAAGGACTTTTTAAAGCACTATTTATTTAATTTCAAGCACCTATCAAATTCACACCCCAGCATATGTAGCATCATGAAAGACCTGTTACAGTACTTAACATTTCACTTACACTTAACATTTACATTAAAATTTTCAGAATAAAGAGGTTTTGAATGTGTAGGTTTCATCAATTTAGACCACTTTGAGCAGATGTGTTCAAAGGAATTTAATTAAATCAAGTCAATGGAGTTCACACTGGTAATATTCAAATACAATTTCTCAAACATTAATAAAAATATATATTCTTGCATCAAACTGGTTTTTGCTGTAATTCTTGTAAAAGATTTAAATTTGAGAGAATTTATCAATTTTTAAATTAATAAAAAGTGGTTAAACAGGGCTCTACGCGTACTTTTCTTTTAAAATGTAAAAAAATTTAGGAGCACAGTCAAACATTTCAGGAGCACCTTCTAATCAATAATCAAAAATTCTGATCAAATATTAGCCTTCCAATTTTACGAGATGATATTTGACTCCTTAAAGTGATTTACAGGGAATTTAGTTTTTACACCTTTGTAATGGCATTTTTCTAACTTTAGTCAGTCGCACTGGTGCTCCTAAATATTTTTTTTCAAAGTTGCATGCAGTAATTTTCATTCGCAAATGCACTGCTTCTCCATTGGATCATGCAGGGCTGCGCTAGTTTTTTTCTCGCGCTACCCTATCTCAACCCCCAATCATTAGCGCAGTTTCGTTTTGTCTTTGACAGCGCATATAGGACAATTTTTGAAATAGCACCATTCTACTAAACAAAATGTATTTCAAATTTAATTCAAGCACTTTCAAGGACTTATATTTGTTTTCAAGTACTTTCCAGGCCTTGAATCCATACGTCTGATATTCAAGTACTTTCAAGAAGCGTGGGAACCCTGAAGACAGATGAGGTTGTTACCCATTTTAACGTCCTGCTGCATGAGCTTCTGCTCAATTTCCTCTCGGGTTTTCTCACTCTTCTCCAGCTTCTGCATCATGCTTCCCACATCCACCATGGATCCCTTGTAGACGATTAGGCTAGATGACTCGCCGCTGTCCTGTAGTAGTAGTAGTAGTAGTCTAATTAGAACATCATCATCATTATTATAACAATAATAATAAACACATTCATATTCATATTCTAAAGTAATATAATTACTAGTAATATACACACACATAATTTGTACAACTTTAAATGTATTATTATGAACTAATATTAACATTAAATCAGATAATAAATTATTACTATTAAAATATATCATTATTATAATTACTATAATACATTTATAATATTATATGTAATATTAGTATTAGTCAATATAATTAAATTAAATAGAATTTTTAAAAAAGCATGGAGAAAAATTCAGTTTTTCCAAAAAAAAAAAACGTAATATTTTAGGATCATAATGAGTTAATTCATGGAACTTACAGACTCCTTAAACCTTCCCAAGTAACAACTAAACGCACAACACTACACCGAAGCAGCACCTGAGCTCTGGAGAGATGCAAGCCCAGCGTGTACATGATCTCCTCCAAGTCTTTCTCCAGCAGGTAGCCGCAGTGACTCTGGTCGAAGTACACAAAGGCCATCAGCAGATCCTTGTTAAACGTCACCATCTGTTTTTTCTTCTCATCCTATAGACAGATTGAAATAATAAAGCATTCCACTCCACTCAGTATTAGAAAGATTTTGTGCTGCAAAAGGAGATGTTGTTGACTCACTTTATCTTTAGATGACCTCTCTTTGGATTTCCGTTCATCTCGCCGGTCATCTCTTCTGTCTCTGCCATTAGAGTCTTCATCATCTTTATCTGAGCAGCACAAAGAATCAGTTTCTGGATCAAAACTGATCAAAAGTGTGTTTGAGGATTCAGGTGCAAACAGTGTGACCCCTACCATCATCATCATAGTCGTCTGCGTCTTCTGCCTCCAGTGGGTCATATTCATCAGCGTTGTTGTTGCTGCTGCCGTCTTCATTATCATCATCATCTTTGGATTCTTCTCTCTTAATACCTTTCTCCTCATCCTTTACCCAGAAGATATTAAAATGTCCATATATATTAAAAAAAGCTTTAAAAAACGCATTCATTTGAACAAATCACAATGCTTAAGCATTTAACGGACATCTGAATAAATCAAAGAATCTATCAAAACAGTCCCCACACTTTCTGACCAATCAGTGTCATTCTCCCATGACTTTTCCAGTTGTTCGTGATGCCAAATAAACATTTTCATGAAAAATAAATTAAGCGTAAAACCAGGTGTAACTACAATCACTAATCAATATTCACTATGGAAATTTCCATGACTTTTTAAGCTTTTAATAATTTCCATGACTCTTCCAGGACAAAGCTTTAAAATGTCCTGATATTTCAAGGTTTTTCATGGTCGTAGGAACTCTTTTGAAGTATTTCCCCCACCTTCCTCTTCTCATCCTCCTCTCTCATTCTCTTTGTGGCCGGCTCTCCGTTTTCTTCATCCTTCTCCTTCTTTACGTCCCTCCGGTCTGCCTCTTTTTTAGCTTTCTCTTTTTTATCTTTCCTCTCATCCTTGCTCGGAAGAGAACTGAGTGTTTTGTAGATCCTGTAGCCAAAGTCTCGTTGAAGCATCTCATTGAATAATTCAGCAAACAAAGACACCTGAAACAGATGCCAAAAGACCAGTGTTATTTAGTATCACTGGAAAACTGCTATAGCTTTTATTAATTATGCTATAGCTTTTGTATTTAATATTTTTAATTTTAAGTTAGAAGTTTAGTAATTTTTTTTGTTTGTTTTTTACTTAAGTTTTAGTTATTTTAGTATATAAAGTTAAACTAAATGAAAAAATTAAATGCTGACATGGCAACTGTTTTTCTTGAATGTTTTAATTCAAGCAACGAAAATGTTTATGGTTTTAGTTTTAATTGTGTATGAATAGTTTTTGAATGTTAAGTCCCTCCTTTCTCTGCAAAAGGCAACTATTTACAAAAGTGTATCTGAAACCAGAATATTGTAATTATATCAGGCGAAGTCAAGCAAAGTGTCCTAAAACTGTAGTTTATAGGTGAATTGTTAATTTAAAAAATCTTTAATATGCACAAACATGTTGTTTCACCTCTCTGCAGTGATCCTCACCTCAAAGGAGTGCTCTTTATTATCCTCGAGTCTGTAGTCCAGCAGCACACTCAAGGACATGATGCTGCAGTCGAATTTGCCATTCTTGGCAGCCCAGTTGGGGTGGACGATAATGGTGGGCTCATCTGGCAGAACATAACGTCTCTCTCTGCGCTGACGTTCCTGCTCCTCCTGTCGCTTTCGCTCCTCTTCCTAGAGGGAAACATTTTTTTTCCACGTCTGTATGCGATTGATCAGACAGGCTCTCTATAAAAGCAGGATCCTCTGATCTTCTCTCACCTCTCGGTCATCCTCCAGTCTGCAGGACTCATCCTCCTCCACACTAGGAGGTTCAGGCTTCTCCGGCTCCTTGGACTCCTCTACCTGCTCCTCCACCTTCAGCTGTTTGGTGAGGCGAGCAATCAGCTGTGACTTCAGCCCTTTAGAGCTCAGTGTACGGCTCTCCAACTCCTTACGCAAGTCATTGACCTGTGTGCAAATTGGTTTTATCAGCCCTTTAAACGCTCATCTGCTAGCTTGTTGTGCTGTTCTCCTACTCATTTCTATGGCTTTTCCAGTTGATTAAAGTGTTTTTTTTATTTTTTTTATAATTTTATACAGATTACTGGGGCACTTTTCCATTTCTATGCCAGGGACCACTCTTTGAAACTATGATTATACTTTATAGTGCACAAATGTCCTAAATAACTATTATTGGACAGATTTATGATGTAAACGCTGGTCTGCGAGCAAGGTTTTCTCTACACAAGCACACAAATAACTTAAAGAAAAGAAAAATGGCAAAATGTGCAATGTTTAATGTTTAGTGTTAGAAAAGACTACTTTAAAATTACTGCAACAATGAACCAAAAAAATCTAATCAAATATCAAATGGATACTTTATATCAAACACAATACAGTTCAGTTTTTTGTTTTAGATTTAAATAGTTTTCTTTTATGCTCACCAAGGCTGCATTTATTTAAACAAATTACAGTAAAAACTGTAATATTGTGAAATATTATAACGGTTTAAAATGACTCCAGTTTTCAGTGTCACATGATGCTTCAGGAATCATTCTAATATGCTGATTTAATGCAGGACACATTGCTTATTATCATCAATGTCAAAAACAGTTGTGCTTCTTAATATTTTTGTGTAAAATGTGATAGTTTTTTCCCCCCAGAATTCTTTAGTGAGTTTAAAAGAGCAGCATTTAGTTTAATTAGTTGTAATAATTTAAAAGTCTTTACGGTCACATTTGATAAAGTTAATGTGTCTTTGCTCGTTAATAAACTATATTTTCATTCCAAAAATGACTACTGAATGGTGGTGTACACTGTTCAAAGGGGTATATATATTTTTGTCCAAAACAATTGCTCAACCATTAAGTGTCTAGGTAACACTTTACAATAAGGTTCATCACAAGGGAAGTCGTGGCCTAATGGTTAGGGTTCGAGTGTCGTACCGGCAGGGAATGTAGGTGGGGGGAGTGAATGTACAGTGCTCTCTCCCACCTTCAATACCACGACTGAGGTGCCCTTGAGCAAGGCACCGAACCCCCAACTGCTCCCCGGGTGCCGCAGCATAAATGGCTGCGCACTGCTCCGGGTGTGTGTTCACGGTGTGTGTGTGTTCACTGCTGTGTGTGTGCACTTAGGATGGGATAAATGCAGAGCACTAATTCCAAGTATGGGTCACCATACTTGGCCAAATGTCACGTCAATGTCACGTCAATGTCATTAGTTAACAGTAATAGTTAACAAGAACTAAGCAAGAAGCTTAGTTCTACAGCTTTTATTGATCTTAGTTAATGTTAATATCAACATTTACTAATACATTATTAAAATCAAAAGTTGTATTTGTAAACAATAGTTAATGCACTGTGAACTAACATTAACAAACAATGAACAACAGACAATGAACTAATGTTAGTATTTTCATTAAGTAACATTAACAAAGATGAATAAATACTGTAACAAATGTATTGCTCATTGTTAGTTCATGTTAGTTAATACATTAACTAATGTTAACAAATGACACCTTATTGTAAAGTGTTACAAGTGTCTGTAAAAAAAAAAAAAAGGGTGTGAATAAACTAAAAACTATTGGTTATTTTAAAAAAGGACAAGTCTTCTATACCTCAGCATACTAAAGAACATCAACTTTAAAGCATTTTATTGGGTATGTAAAGGGTATGAAGATCCCATGAAATAAAATATAGAGAATATTGATGTAAAATAATGACAGTTCAGTCTGTAGCAGAGGGAATTGCTTGTGCTTGTGGGAATCTCACCTTCATGGATTTCGGATCAAGCTTAGCCCAGTGAGTTGGCGTCATGACTTCCTTTGAATCAACTTCGTCCTTATCCTCCTCCTCCTATGCACATTATGTGAAAGAGAGGAAGAGAGAAAAGACAACAGCATGTTAGCACACCACTCTCAGACTCAAAGAAGTTTTCTGAAACAAAAGCTGATCCGTGCAAGAAGCAAGGTCACAACTGTCTCTCATTGTCTCCTCCTACTGAGCTCTTGATTGGGTTAAAAAAAAATATCCACTGCTAGGATACACGGAAGCTCTCTAGCTTTCAGAAACAGATCCATATCCCACTCATCAGCCAATAAATGCCAGTTCTGTGGAATACAAAAAGATAATCAATGACAGTGGGTTCAAGAGATGGACATGGGACAGATGCACTCAGAGAAGGTCTCCAAACCTTACGTCTACATTTATTGCTGCCTTTTTTGGCCCACGTATACTCTTTAGCTTGTTTTCTTAAACACCTAGCCAGAACTGTCCTCGGATAAACAATCTCCCTGGAAAAATCACATCCACAAAGGGTCTAGACACAGTCCAATCAGAGAACAGTGTCAATAAAAAAAAATAAATAAAATAAAAAATAAATAAATAAATAAAAAGAGACAGACAGGAAACAGAACTCAGAGAGAGTTCGGCAGATATTGAACAGGTAAACAAAACAATCTAAAAACACACAAACATCATAAACACAACTGGCTCTCCAGATTCCAGCATTTATTTCCCAATTGGTCTCATTGGTTCAAGCTTTACACAAAAAAAAAAAAAAAAAGAGACAGACAAGAAACAGAACTCAGAGAGAGTTCGGCAGATATTGAACAGGTAAACAAAACAATCTAAAAACACACAAACATCATAAACACAACTGGCTCTCCAGATTCCAGCATTTATTTCCCAATTGGTCTCATTGGTTCAAGCTTTACAGAGAATTTTCCGATAGGATTTGTTGAAATTAAACAGGAAATTTAGAGTTATTAATCACGGCCGTCAATCATGCATTTGACAGAGCTGGAAGCCGTTTTACCAGTTGACAGGTGTCATAAAGTAGGACCTAAGCTCTTCCGCTGTGTGTGAGACTGCGTGACAGAGGGAGAGCAGGAGGAAATGGGGTGGAGGGTCAGGGATGAGACAGGGATGAGAGGAAGGGATGGTAAAAGTGGGTTCTGTATGATGCCTGTGATACTTGTCTGTTTCTTTCTGTGTTTTGAGTGTTTTGTTTGTCTATTCCTGTGCCTGTGAGAAGCGGAAATGAGAAGAGAGAGATTAGCGTTCAGTGCCTGTTCTCCATCAGCCTCCTTCCGTTCAGCCACGAGTTTCTCTGCCAGCTGCTCCTTGAGTCCACGGGACAGGCCCTCCCACTCTGAGCGGGTAGGAAGACAATGCCAAACATCCGGGAGAAATAAAACCACTGTCTCCACATGTGCGGGGACTGTCCGCCCTTTGTGAGTCTCCTCAGGGCGGTGATAGCGTATCTCTGCAAAACGATACCTGTCGCAAAGGAAGAAGCGCGTTGGAAAGAAACATTCTGTGAGACATCACCCATTTCCCCCAACACACACACACACGTACACAGACACAAAGCTCTGACCCCTTCGACCCCCCGAATGAGACGCGTATGAGAAAATACAGTCTGCAGAACTCCATGGGGGGTTTCTCAGGATGAACGGCAGCCACGCATCAGGGAGGTCGACAGACAGTATCGACAGCTAAACTCAAAACGACGAAGACCCCGCCCCCCTGCACCCATCAATCTGAACCCGTTGCTCGTGAAAGATAGCTTACGAACCCCGGGGGTGTGAGAGAAGGACAGATTCAGACACAGTGAAAGCAAGTTAAATATGTAAGATATTTAACACAAGGCAAAGGTCAGAGAGAACAGAAAGTAACAATGGCGGTGGCGGCGACTCCTCTGGCTCTGCTCTCGGAGCAAAAGAATCAATGCATTCACCACATAGAAATAGAGGCAGGACTGCCACACACATTAGCATAAACATTGCAAAACAAAATTTGAGAAATCAAAATTATACACACAAAAGCATCAAACATGTCAGGAGATACACTGCTGTGTCAAAACCATGCAGCGGGTCACAGACTTTTAGACGTTGTCTGCCTGTCGGACTTTTTTTTTTTGCACACATGGAGATTACAAGGAGATGCATCGGCGCAAACCGAGAAAGGAGCTGTACTTACCACTGGGTACATAAACTCAGATCAATGCCTGTCAGAGCCTTACAACAACGTATGGCTGTCTTTATAAGAACCGAGGCATCGTTTTCCGGGTTGGCTCCATCCAAAGAGGGAGACCAGTGACCCCCGATGGCCATAGCCTCGTCCTTGCCCCGCATCCCCACCAGGAACTGAAAACAGAGTTCAAATGAGTTACAAGACGCTGGGAAGCCACTGAGTGCTCTGAGGCGGACACAGGGAGCGACAATATCAGATGAGCTTATTCCACACCGCAAAGCGTTCAGCAATGGAATAGGACAAAGACACATCACAGTCAGCTCCCCAACACCAACACAAACTCCCCACATCAAACACAGGAATGGACAAACATCTTTCAGTGTCCAAGGGAACAAGAAATGTTTCCATGTACATTATAATTAATAGACTGCAATAGCAGGGTCCTTAAAGTTAAATCCCATTAAACGTTTGAATTTTAGCTAATAAATGTAATAACATTTCAGTCAGAGATCAATTATGGTAAATAGTTCGTAAATTATGGTAAATACTGCACTAACTAAAAAAAAAATAAAAATCTTTCACAGCAAGAATGGCATTAAAGATATTTATAATAGGGATGTTCATTTTAACCGGTTAACCGACCGTAAGAATTTTGACCGATTAATACAATCAGTTAAATGGTTTAAAAAGTCATTTAATTCTTAATTTTTTCAGTAATTTATCAAAATATTTAAAAAGGTTTGCTGCATGGTTAAAATACGCTACGCGTATTAAAAAAAATTTGTTTTTTAGGGGGAAAACATAAGTCACATTTTATTATTTCATTCAGAAATAGGCCTAATGCTGAAGCAAACTGTTTACAAACATTATAATAAACACTGTAAACAAATCCTTTCAATTAACAGTATTTAGAAACGAACAAGAATTAAAAATATAAGAAGCTATAGCAATATAAACGACAAGCCAAAACTAATTAATTTAGGCCAAAACGAAACTGAAACCAACATTGGGTCTCTCATTCGACACAAAATCAAATGTTTCCGTATTCGCGATGTATTTGAATGCCAGATTATTATTTATTATGTACTTCACTCGCATTCCAATATCCACGTAAAACAAAATGTATGTTTTTCTCCGCTGGCAGAAGCGCTGCAGGTGCGTGATATGATGGCGATGTGAATCCTCATGTTCTGTTGTTTGTGCTTTTTGCGCATGTAAAATTAATCCCTGGGAAACAAATGTTAGTATTTTTTAACGGGTCACAGACACTTATCCTTTAATTTAAATAAATAATTTATTAAATTCTAATTTAAAATAATCTTGTCGGTTATCGGTTAACGAGCGTCGGTTAGGAAAAATAACCGAAATGAACATCCCTCCATGTGACACTGAAGACTGGAGTAATGAAGATTTCTGTTTCAAATAAATGCTGTTCTTTTCAACCTTCTGATTCAAATAATCCTAAAAAAAATATCAGTTTCCACAGAAATATTAAGCAGGACAACTGCTTTCATTGATAATGCATTTATAATACATTGATAATAAGAAGTGTTTCTTGAGCATAAAATCAGAATATTAGAATGATTTCTGAAGGATCATGTGACACTGAAGACTGAAATAATGGCTGCTGAAAAATCAGCTTTTGGAGTCATCATGGGGATAAAATGTTTAAATATAAAAAATGTTTAAATATATTACAATAGAAAACAGTTATTTTAAATTGTATTAATATTTCACAATATTACAGTTTTTACTGTATTTTTTATTAAAAATGCAACATAAAACACTTACCAACTAGTAGTAGTGCATGTTTTGATACCGAAAAAAACTCAATTTCTTCAAGAAAACTTTCAAGAATGTTTGAAATTATTTCATTTTACATTACATTGTTCATTAATAATATAATAATAATAATATATATATATAATAAATATTTTCAAATAACTGTTACATAAAACTGGTAAAAGGAGTGTGTTAAAAAGCAAGTTAGTTTTTGCCGTGTTATTAAAAAAGGGAATGAAACTACAAATATTGTGGTATTGAGACAACATTTTTCTGACATGTGCGTCATTATGGTCAGGATAAACTGAATGTGTGAAACAATTTCGTATTTCTTTCTTTTTCAGTTCCTGGCGAGACAGGAAGCTTTACTGCTAGCAAAAAATGCAGAGATGTCTTAAAACTTATGTAACAGCAGGCCTTTTTGCAGACATAGTTTCCCTTCTCTTTTGTTCAAGAGAAATGTGTCAAATCTGTCGTCACTCCCTCAGTCGATGTGTTAAAAACACTCACACAGCAGCGTTAACTTGTTTTCTGAAATGTAATACCTAGATAATATGCCACAAAAATAAATGTCTTATAAATGTACATTCAATTTTTAAAAATTCAAATATATAAAAACTATAGATTGTTGATGTTATTAACTGTGGAAATGCGTCAATCACAGTCTTTGAAAAGGGTCCACAGTAATCATATCTACAGTCCCCGACACTGTAATGTTGTCCATTCCTGAGAAATACTACAGCAGAAGTGCAAAACAATTGTCATAAAATAGCACATAAGTTAGTGATTAAATAACAAGCTGATTACACAAACCAAGCCAGTTTGTTGCAGTTAATAGTGTCATTCAGAGAGCTGCACCTTGATGAGGCGGGCAGGGTGCTGGAAGGAGTCTCTCAGCTCTGGTGGATCTTCTGCCAGAGCACAGGACTTATGGTACAGCTCATCTAGACTAGGGTTGGCCAGCAGCATTACCTATAACAAACATTAATATTAAGCATGACTGCCAAAAACCACTGAATGAAATCTGGTGAGAAGTATTATTCTGAAAATGAATTTGACAGTGAATTACTCAAAAACAAAAAACAAAAAAAAGATGACCATAACTGGGGGGGGGGGGGGTACCTTTGCGTTCTTCACCAGAGAGTCCACCTCTTTATGCATGATGTGGAAGTTACAGTAGTTTCCAAAGGTGAAAGGTCGTGTTAAGGGAAAGGCTTCTACCCAGGTAAACACAGCGTCAAAGAAGTCACTGGGGATGTAGAGGCTCTGATACCTCCGGCGCAACTCCATCACGTCACAGTTGTGACTGCTGAGAACAGAGACAGACAGTCATTAGGGGTGTAACGGTATATGTATTCGTACCGTATTCGTACACGTATTCGTAACTTCACTGGAAACTTCCAGTTTTATATATTGTTACTTTTGATAAAAGTAAAGTCTCATCTTTCAAATTATGTCCTTTTTTCAGGAAATTCAAACAATAAATGCCGTTTTGACTCTTTGATGTGGCGCGACAGATCGCTGTATAAACGCCTCAGTTCAAACGCCAGCGCGATCATCTCTTCCTCTTTACTACTAGTTTTAATGTGAAATAAACATGAATGAACATTTCATGCCTCATGTAATCGCTCTGATTCGCTCAATCAGCGTTTCAACCGCAGAAAGACGTCAATAGAACAGCTTGTGAACAAAACGTCAGGTAGCATTTCATTTACCTCAGGCAAGTCATCAGTGTCCACAGCACATTAGTTCGCTAGAGAAATTAAGTCAAGAGAAGAGCATTTTGCGAAATATTAGACTATATTCTCATTATATTTTACTTTACCTGTTAGTGATGTTTTAATTATTTTAAGTTGAGTGTTGATTACTATATTTAAAAATCAATAGTAATTAAATTTAACTTTGGGCTCGGTTGTTAATTGTACCCTTAAAGTAATGTTAAAGGACTCCCTATAGTTTAGAGCATAAGCTGAGGTAGATTTTTATCCCTAAGAACATTTTAGTTATAATTGAATTTATTTAAAGAAAGAGCAATTTGTTCAGTAAACCACTGTTTAATTAAAAAAAAGCAATTTTATGTTTAGTTTTTCCCCCCTGCTATACTGAAACCATACCGAACCGTGATGTCAAAACTAAAGTACGTACTGAACCGTCATGTTTGTGTACCGTCCTCTAACAACAAAGAAAAAATTGCACCATAATAAAGTAACTAACTTATAAATTCATATCTCAAGATCTCTGTGCTTTTTTTAATCTGTTGAGCTCTTAATGCAAGTTTAGGGTCCGTGAAGGTCAAATTTAATTGCTTTGTCATTTTCAGATAGTTGTATATATCCAACTGATAGATCCAATCCAGTGATGCCTACATTTTTTATGAAGCAGAGGTTGTGTTCGTATATTCCTTCCCATTGTGACACATCCGAGTGAAACGGCTTTTCAAACAAGAAAAAATAAAATGTAGTGAGGTATTTAATTGGTTCATCGTGAATTGACTGGAAAAAATTTTTAATTTGCAACAAGACATCTCAAGATTCTTCCTTTACGACAATTAAGGGTGTATTCATACCCGTCTTATTTGGTTCACTTGAATCGAACTCAAATTCGTTTCCCCTCTTGGTGCGGACCTTTTTGGCAGGTGTGAATACAGCAATCGCACTCTGGTGCAGACCAAACAAACGTACAGAGACCCAGCTGAAGAGGTGGTCTCAGTCCGCTTCCAAACGAACTCTGGTACGTTACGTTTAAGGTGTGAATATGACCCGACCTCGATCCGACCCAATTGCAGTTTGGCTTCACGCTCAGAAACAGACAGCTCGCGCATATAGTGCTGTTATTTGCGTTTCAATGGCTTAAATAACTTGTTTTTAAACCACAATGCTTAAAAACACAAGCAAATGATGAGTTTTCGTGACCATGGCGCACAGCAACGTGATGTGAGCGTGCTAAATCGGCTAAAGCTTGCCGCAAAATTTACCATGACTATGTTGGGGGAAAATAGTAAGGAGATATTTGAATTATTTATTAATAAACTAGTGTTTTATGAGTCAGTGTCGCTATGGAGTTGATGATCCTGACTCGCCATCTCATCATTGGACGCGCCTTTAGAAAGAAATGCATCTTTACGGATTACATAATAATAAGAGTTTTTGTTTCGGATTTGAATTATTTCGTTTTGTAGTCATATATAGTCATAGTTTATAGATATATTCATCATGTCTGTATTCAAATCTGCGTTCGCTGGCTGGCACTGAGCCAGAAACAGATGCGCTTGTACAGCGCTGCATTATAACCAATCACACACGATTCTGTTGATCTTATGAATGCAATGGCCAATCAGAGACGCTCGGATGAGTCATCGCTGAAACGCGGTGTTTTGTTCACTTGCTCGCTGACTGAATTATCTGGCGAATTCTCTCATCAGAAACAGCAAAGTGCAGATGTGCGTACGAATGTAAATAAGATCTTCATTTCACAGTGTAAAGAGCTTCAGTGATTATAATGGGAGTTTTTGAGAGTGCCTGAACTCTGGCTAACAGCTTCAGTGATTTTAATGGGAGTTTTTGAGAGTGTTTTGACTTACACATATTTGAGAATGGAGATATTTCCTGATATAGTTAACATGTTTGGAATTATTACGAATTAAAAAAAATAAATAAAAAAAAACCTATGTCAGTTATGCAGTGCTATCATGGCTGCTGTGTGTCACACATGACAAGCATGACCCCCACACATGCCCCCTCAAAAATCATGACTGCATGACGCCCGAGTTTTTGTTTTGGATTTGATTTATTTCGTTTTGTAGTCATTTAAAGCTTTCTATAGATATATTCATCAAGTCTGTAAGGAAAATATTCGCTGAGTTTCGGTGCATTTTTGTGATGCATTTCGGTGCATCCGAACGATGTATTATTCTTACCTTTATGAGCAAAAATGACAGCGTATTTTATTTGTTTCCACTGATGTCCTGAAGCGCGCTTCAGCTTCCACTCTCCGCACAAACGATTGGATATGCACCTAATAGCGCACATTTATATAGGTTAAATGTTTAAACTAACAAGTGCACACAAATAAAAATAGACCCTTTACAGTTCCGAACGATGTACTATTCTTACCTTTATGCGCAAAAATGATGGCGTATTTAATTTTTTCCACTGATGTCCTGAAGCGCGCTTCAGCTTCGACTCTCCGCACAAACGATTGGATATGCGCCTAATAGCGCACATTTATATAGGTTAAATGTTTAAACTAACATTGTGATATGCTTTAAGTATTTTAAATGAGTGATTTTAATTGGTATTGACCTATAATAGTTTTTTTTTTGTTAGAAGCCAAACCAAACCCCATATACTGTATTGTTTATTGTCTAATCTGTTTGCAGATCTCTACATATACTGTACGGCATTGCTATTAAATTATTACCAGAGAAACATAATTGTAGAGAAACACCTTTTCATTCTTCCATGTCTAGGATGAATGACAATAAACGAATACAAAAAACCCCAAAAAACTCTGTTTAATTTGCAACAAGTCATCAAGATTCTTCCTTTACAACAATTAACTTACCCATCGAGAGAGAATTTGGAGAACTGCACAGTATATCTTGGGACGACTCTGCGTGGCCGTCTTGGAGAACGTTCTCTGCGAGGAGACCGGTCTCTAGAACGCTTCCGTGTGGGTGAACGTTCTCTTGATCTCCTTCGCTCTCTATCTCTTTCCCGACTACACAAACTACACAAAAATAAAGCATGAGCACGTACAGCAAATAAAGATTCACAATATCCATTTTTTGGTTGTACTGGTTGTACTTCTACTGAAGCAATTCTACTCAATTACTCCTGAGAAAGTCAGGTGTATGCATGAGCGCTAACCTGCGGTCATCTTTCCTCAGGATAAGTTCTGGTCGGTCACTGCGGCTGGGGAAGCGGGGTGAGGGGTCCACACGCCTCACCTGTTGCGGCTGAGGCATCATCCGCGCTGGCGGCTGCAGCAAACCCCCTGAGAACACAGAGTCTACACATGGCAGAGAGAGAGAGAGATGGGAGATCAGATTTGATTCTGTAAAAGTGTGACTCTTTGAATGGTGGAGGGGTTGATGTACCTTTAGGGTGAGGCTG